ACGAAAGGTCGATGCATCATAGATGGGGCGCCCTCGCAGACGCACCTTCTCCACCGCGTTGCGCGGCGGATAGCTGCGCCCCCCGTCACGCCGTCGTTCAGCTCCCCCACCACTCTCAGCGACAAGCGCGCCCACTGCCATCAGTTGCAGCGCTGAGAGCAGAGGCGGAGGCACTTTCCAATCGTGGATGGGGCCCCGCAGACGCACTTTCCATCAAATCGCGTTCTGCGGCGGTTAGCTGCGCCCCCCGTGTCAACGAAAGGTCGGCGCATCATAGACGGGGCTCTCGCAGACGCACTTGCGGCGGACCGGATGGGAGCGGAAGGGGCCTGGAGACAGATGTTCAGGTTCGGGGGTGTCTTGTCTCGACCCCCCCCCTTCCTCGCTCCCTTGCCCGCCCGCGCCCCCCCCCCCGCCTCGGGGCCGCTCGGGGCTCCTCGCCTCCAGAAGGAAAGTCCATCCAACTCCCTGAGGCTGACAACTGCGGCCCAGGGGGGCACCGAGAGGCATCGGACGAGGCGAACCCAAGGGGGTGCCAGGGGGAGGCGCAACAGCTCGCAGCTGCGGAGGACGTTGTCCACCCCCCCAGAGGGCACGCGCCTGCGTATCCTCTGACAGCGGCGAGCCGCACCCCCGAGGTGCAATCTGGCGACGGAGACGGAGGCAACCACCAACAATGGTGACTCTTGCGGCGGTTAGCTGCACCCCCAATGCGCATGTAAGAGCGAACTCGGCGGCGGTTAGCTGCACCCACTTGGCCATGAGATAGAGCATTCTGCGGCGGTTAGCTGCGCCCCCCCTTCTCGGCGCAACTCAGGGCGCGCGCTCCGAGGGGCCTCGAGGCCTACGAGAGCGCCCACCTCGGGAACACCCGTGTTCTTCGCTTCTTGGTCTGGCTCCCACTCTCTGCGGAGTGTGCTTCGGCCCTGGAGGACCTCGCGGTGCGCGTCGGCTCTCGGGTCTGGGGGGCAGCGCCTACCGGCGAACTGGGCCCGGCTTGCCTCCTGGCCCACACGTCCTCCACAGCGCGGCCCCCCCAGGCGCCTCGTTCTGACACCGCAGGAGGCAGCGTGCCACCAGCGCCGCCCTTCCCGTCACTCCTCCGCTGGCGGTGCGCCCCCGCCTGCGCCCCCCCCCTCTCTGCGGCTGGCGCCGTGCCGGCGCGCGCTGCGTGGCCCACAATCGCTTGTCCCCCCCTTGCCCTGTGGAGTGGTCACTCGGGTGTTGGGTCGCCACGGAGTGGTTCAGCCTTCCGCAGCAAGACAGCACCCAGGCCCCCAACAGCTGCCGGCCAGTGTGCCGCACCAGTTCTGCGACAGCTGCTTGGCTTGCAGACGTCGTCGCGGGCGTTCGGAGTTTGGCGCCCGACAGGCGACTCACTCCACCGGCCTCTCACTTGCCTCCTCGGCTGCAGGACCCCCCCTGGCAGGATGCGCAGGCGCTTCACCGCTAGACGGCGGCGCCCCCCACGCCTGCGGATTTCTGCTTCAGGGATCGGCATCGCAGTTGCGCCTTGGGCACAGCCGCATGGCCCCACCTGGCACTGGGGGGCGGACTACTGAGGTCTGGGCGCCGTGTGGCTCAGCCTGCTACGCCTGCACAGTCCTCGGTTCTCTGCCTGGGTAGTCGAAGGCCAGACTGTCAGATTGGATTGGGCCCGAAGGGCCAATCTGGCCTGGCCAAACTGGATGATTTGGGTTATTCGCCAGACTGGATTCGCGTTGGCTCCCTCGCCAGATTGCCCCCCTTTGCCAGATTGGGCCTGCCAGATTGGCGCCAGATTGGCTTCGACTACCCAGTCTGTGAATGTGGAGCATTTTGCTCAGTGCGCGTGCACCGCACGTTCTGCGTGCAATTAGCTTTGCGCCGCCGCCCCGGACATCGCCCGTTGCCGCCAGACCGTTGTCGCGCGGCTGCCGCCGACCAAAAAGTATCCCCACCAGTGGCCTGTGCCTGTTGTAGCTAATTTGCTTAGCTCGCGCCCCGGACTTTGCTCTTGCCGCCTGACCGTCGTCTCGTGGCCGCGACCAAACAAAATATCCCCACCAGCCCATCCAGAAACGATGTCCAGGCGAGTTGAGGTGATCAGGGAAGTGCGGCAGCAAAGAGGAGGACGGCCGAACCGTGCAAAGGAGTGAGGAGGAGAAGGAAAAAGTGGATGGATGGATGGATGGACGGAGTGGGAAGAAGGGGGATGAATAGGATGAGGAGGAGGCGGAGGAGGAAGAGGAGGAGGAGAAGGAGGAGGAAGAGAAGGAGTAGGAGCAGGAAGGAGGAACATGAGGAGGACGAGGGCAAACACAAGGGCCAGAGGTCTCGTGGATGCCTTTTCGGGGCCTCTTGGAGTATCTCTTGCGCGATTATTGGTGGCCTCTTGGGACGTCTTGGGGGTCTTTTGGTGATCCGGGGGGCTCTTCGGGGTCTTGGGTGCCTCGGGGGGGGGCCTCTCGGGGCTGCTTAGGGTCTTTTGGGGGGCCTCCTGGGGGCCTCGCGGGGCCATTTTGGGACCATCTTGGGACCTCTTGGGGCCTCCTGGGCGCTTCTTGGGGCCATATTGGAAGAGATCGGTCAACGAAGGGGAGTCCTTCCTTCGTAAAATCAATGGTTTTGGTTTCCTCGCCGAGGCCGTTTTGGACGCTCTGACTACCCGCGCCCCCCCCCGTCCGTCCAGGTCCAGGGGAGGGGGTAGGGGGAGGGGTCAAGACCCCCTCCCCGCCCGCAAGCCGTCCCGCTCACTCCCCCCCGCCCTCCCAACACATACGTAGCACCCGAGTCTGGCCCGAGCCTGAGCATATTCAGCAGTCGCCTTGGGATGGGCAGCTACTGGGGGCCAATCCGCCGCCGCCGCCGCCGCCGCCGCCGCCGCCGCCGCCGCCGCCGCCTGCCGCCGCCGCCGCCGCCGCCGCCTGCCGCCGCCGCCGCCGCCGCCGCCCGCCGCCGCCGCCCCCCGCTGCCAAACTGCCGCCCCCCGCTGCCAAACCGCTGCCGCAGCCGCCGCCGCCACGCCGCCGCCGCCGCCGCCGCCGCCGCCGCCTCCGCCGCCGCCCGCCGCCGCAGCCGCCGCCGCCACCGCCACCGCCGTCGCCGCCGCCGCTGTCGCCGCCCCGCCGCTTCCGCCGCCGCCGCCGCAGCCTCGCAGCCGCCGCAGCCGCCGCAGCCGCCGCCACCGCCGCCGCAGCCGCCGCCCCCGCCAAGTGTATGTTGTATTGCTTTTTGACAGGGATGGTGGGGGGGGACCGCATCGGGTTGGCTGCGCATGTTCCGAATTTGGAGGCAGAGTGTGTTTTGTATTGGTTTTTTACAAAGGATGGTGGGGGGGGGGGTGGCATGGACCCTGGTTGGCCCCCAGTCGCCTGGGGGAGAGGGTGTTGACTAATAGGGAACAGTGATAAACCCCCACCCGAAGAGGGAGGGGTGGAAGAGGAACCACCGACGCCCAGTGGGCTGGTGGGACAGGGGGTCGGGGCGGGACCCGGCGCGGCTGCCGTCGAAACCCAAATCGCTTTGGACATCCTCGCAAAATCGCTCTTGGCGCTGCTAGAACTCCATTCCCGGCGCACATTTTGGATGCCCGGAGCAAATTGTAGGCAACTTCGTGCTCTTCGACTTCCCAGAACTCCATTCCCGGCGTACATTTTGGATGCCCGGAGCCAACTGTAGGCAACTTCGTGGTCTTCGAGTTCCCAGAACTCCACTCCCGGGCCACATTTTGGATGCCCGGAGCCAACTGTAGGCCATTTCGTGGTCTTCGAGTTCCCAGAACTCCATTCCCGGGCCACATTTTGAATGCCCGGAGCCAACTGTAGGCCACTTCGTGCTCTTCAAGTTCCCAGAACTCCATTCCTGGGCATGATTTTGAATGCCCGGAGCCAACTGTAGGCGACCTCGTGTTCTTCTAGTTCCCAGAACTCCACTCCTGGGCCACATTTTGAATGCTGAGGCAGGCTGATGCTGCGGCCGAGGCAGGCTGAGGCTGAGGCAGGCTGAGGCTGAGGCCGAGGCTGAAGGCAGACTGAGGCTGAGGCTGAAGCAGCTTGAGGCTGAGGCTGAGGCAGGCTGAGGCTGAGGCTGAGGCAGGCTGATGCTGAGGCAGGCTGAGGCTGAGGCTGAGGCTGATGCAGGCTGAGGCTGAGGCAGGCTGAGGCTGAGGCCGAGGCTGAAGGCAGACTGAGGCTGAGGCTGAAGCAGGCTGAGGCTGAGGCTGAGGCAGGCTGAGGCTGAGGCTGAGGCAGGCTGATGCTGAGGCAGGCTGAGGCTGAGGCTGAGGCTGATGCAGGCTGAGGCTGAGGCAGGCTGAGGCTGAGGCCGAGGCTGAAGGCAGACTGAGGCTGAGGCTGAAGCAGGCTGAGGCTGAGGCTGAGGCAGGCTGAGGCTGAGGCTGAGGCAGGCTGATGCTGAGGCAGGCTGAGGCTGAGGCTGAGGCTGATGCAGGCTGAGGCTGAGGCAGGCTGAGGCTGAGGCCGAGGCTGACGGCAGACTGAGGCTGAGGCTGAAGCAGGCTGAGGCTGAGGCTGAGGCAGGCTGAGGCTGAGGCTGAGGCAGGCTGATGCTGAGGCAGGCTGAGGCTGAGGCTGAGGCTGATGCAGGCTGAGGCTGAGGCAGGCTGAGGCTGAGGCCGAGGCTGAAGGCAGACTGAGGCTGAGGCTGAAGCAGGCTGAGGCTGAGGCTGAGGCAGGCTGAGGCTGAGGCAGGCTGAGGCTGAGGCTGAGGCAGGCTGAGGCTGAGGCTGTGACTGCGACTGCCGTTGCCACTGCGACTGTCATCGCGAATGCGACTACGACTGCGAGAACAGCAGAATTCTACAACTGGATTCTCATCTGAATCTGAAGGGGAATGCTTCCAGATATGCTCCTACACATCGCTGTTAGGTTGCTTTGCCGGGATAATTTGAATTCTCACAGTGGTATGAGCCCTGGGGCACTCCGCTACGTACTGAAAGCTCGGCGGTGGTTTTAGAGTTCCAGGAAGGATGCAGGGAAGCAGGCGGTGGAAGAGAGGAGTGGTGGTGAATTTTGCCACATCAGCCTGGGCGCGTTGCGCTACCATCGAGACATGGGTCGCTGGAGAGAGCCGGATAATGCGCTTGAGAAGTCTTCCTCGAAGTTGCTATGCCTGGTGCGTGCACATTTATCTAGAGGGTACCTTCTTCGTCCTCATCCCTCTTCATCTCGTCGGCATCCATATCCTTGGCTTCCGTGGCGGAGTGCCGCAGCAAGATTCGCCATCGTTCTGCATCTTCACAGCCATCAACGGGTTGCTCGGTTGGCTTGTTGGCTGGTTGGATGCGGGGACCCCAGAGCTCTTGCCCAGTTATGGGCCACCATCGCTGCAACCGCGACTGTGACCGCCGCCGGCACCACCACCTCCCCATCCATCCACACCACCACACCACTGTTATAACCACCACCCTATTGATCCAGCTGCCTGCGACAACCCTGCCTGATACTCGTAATTACATGTATATGGGCCAACATGCGCTCGACGCTTCTGTTTTGGATCAAACCGCCAGCGTCCGTGATGACGTACATGTCTCCATATTGCCACCAAAATTGTGCGACGAGTTTGGGTTTGCCATCTTGGTTTGTGGTCCATGACGACGTGCTCCCGCAAATGCCCAATCGGCGACGAATGACGCAAGATATTTGCAGACTATTTAGCACGAACCGTCGTAGTTAGGCTTACCCTTTTATCAAATTGCGGCATGCTCCCATACTTGAGTAGACCTGTGATCCACCCGACGTTGAGGCATTGATCTGGACTGTCTGTTCTCCTTCCCAATTCTTGTAATGTATTATTGTGTGATGCTTGTCCCAAGGGATCCGATGCGTAGAATTGCCATCCGCATGTGCATGTTCCGAAAGCTATCGGCTGGTCGGATAGTGTTGGAGGTCAATGTCTGGCTGCCAGTTGAGCCCAAGACACGACCTGTCCATCCACTAGTATCGCACATTTTTCCGGCACGCTCCACTTGGCGCTAGCATTCGGGGCAAGTGCGATTGTTATCGATACCATGTGTAGCGTACAGTTTCCAGTAGTCGGAAATTCATCAATAGAGATGCGTATGGGATCCGCCCAATTTGCCCAAGAAGCTATCGGAGCGAGCCGGCAAGAGTTTGGCAGTCCGAGTCCTGCATAAAGCAAAAATGCATGTTTGAGTTACCCACGCGCTGTCGTATATATCATGTAATAACCTATCCCTTGCTCGCTCCAAGGGTCCCGAATAGTTTCCGTAACAAAAATGTGATATGTCGCGCAGCCCCACCAGCCCATCCAGAAACGATGCCCATGGAGTTGTTTGGTGGAGTAGCGCAGTTAAGCATATAGTGAAACAGTGAAACAAACAATGGTAACATGAAAGACCTCGGGGAGCCTCTCGGGGCCCTCTTAGGTGCCATTTTGGACGCCTTTGGGGCTCTCTTGGGGCCCTCTTAGGGCTCTCTTGGGTCTCTCTTGGGGCCTTCTTGAGGGTCCTGTTCGGGCCATCTTGGGGGCCAGAGATCGAAAGGGAGGCAGCGTCAATTACGCCTCCCCTTCCCATCGGAGGCCGAACGATTGCCTCTTGGGTCCCTCTTGGGGCGCTCTTGGGGTCGACTTGGGCCCCTCTCGGGCCCCTCTTGGGGCTTGGGGCTCTCTTGGGCCATCTCAGAGTCATCTCGAGGCCACAAGCACCCATCGGAACTGGCGAAACTAAAAAACATCTATCCACCGTAGGTTTTGGAAGAGTTTTGGCCTCTCTGGGGGGGAGGCTCCGTGCCACGGAATCCGTGGCCACTTGGACTGGACGACAATCAAAACATACATTTTAACATATCTTGGACTGGACGACAATCAAAACATACATCTCAACATATTTAAGCACAGTTCAAAGGCTCCGTCGGCCTGGCCAGCTCAAGGGTCAAGCGCGCCATGGATGCCTTGCGACTCCCTGGGGGCAAGCGGCAGAACCTCCACGGGACGGGACGAAACGAGCCGCCGAAGATCGTTCAGCTCAAGATCCGCCCCAAACAGCTCCACACCCTACAGTAGGGGTCTTGAAGAAGGAACCCTTTTCGTTGGGGAGGGGCTCCGCGTTCCTTAAGTGTTCGCCACCGCCGCCGCCGCAGCCGCCGCCACCGCCGCCGCAGCCGCCTGTCGCCGCCGCCGCGCCGCCGCCGCCGCCGCCGCCGCCGCCGCCCCCCGCTGCCAAACCGCCGCCGCAGCCGCCACCGCCACCGCCGCCGCCGCCGCAGCCGCCGCCGCCGCCGCCGCCGCAGCCGCCGCCGCAGCCGCCGACACCGCCGCCGCAGCCGCCGCCCCCGCCAAGTGTATTTTGTATTGTTTTTTGACAGGGATGGTGGGGGGGGACCGCATCGGGTTGGCTGCGCATGTTCCGAATTTGGAGGCTGAGTGTGTTTTGTATTGTTTTTTACAAGGGATGGTGGGGGGGGGGGGGCATGGACCCTGGTTGGCCCCCAGTCGCCTGGGGGAGGGGGTGTTGATCAATAGGGAACAGTGATAAACCCCTCCCCGAAGGGGAAGAGGGAGGGGTGGAAGAGGAAACGCCCTAAACCACCGACGCCCAGAGGGCTGGTGGGATTCTCGGACATTCGTTGTCCAGGCCCTCGGGGACCTACAATCTTTTGAATTCGCACAGTGGTATGAGCCCTGGGGCACTCCGCTACGTACTGAAAGCTCGGCGGTGGTTTCAGAGTTCCGGGAAGGATGCAGAGAAGCAGGCGGTGGAAGAGAGGAGTGGTGGTGAATTTTGCCACATCAGCCTGGGTGCGTTGCGCTACCATCGAGACATGGGTCGCTGGAGAGAGCCGGATAATGCGCTTGAGAAGAATTCTTCGAAGTTGCTATGCTTGGCGCGTGCACATTTATTTAGAGGGTACTTTCTTCGTCCTCATCCCTCTTCATCTCGTCGTCATCCATATCCTTGGCTTCCGTGGTGGAGTGCCGCAGCAAGATTCGCCATCGTTTCAGCACGGGCAGGGGCTGCATCTTCACAGCCATCAACGGGTTGCTCGGTTGGCTTGTTGGCTGGTTGGATGCGGGGACCCCAGAGCTCTTGCCCAGTTATGGGCCACCATCGCTGCGACCGCGACTGTGACCGCCGCCGGCACCACCACCTCTCCATCCATCCACACCACCACACCACTGTTATAGCACCACCCTATTGATCCAGCTGCCTGCGACAACCCTGCCTGATACTCGTATACATATAACGGCGCACCGGGTCCGGGGGCCCGGGGCCAGGACCTCGACCGCAAATGTGGGCCCCGGGGGGCCCGGAGGCTCGTCGGGGCTGCCAGAGGCCTCCACGGTCAGACAAGACGGCCCAAGAAGCGCCCAAGATGGCCCAAGAAACTTCCAAGAGGCCTCCAAGAGGGCTCCAAGATGCTGAATATGGCCTCCGGACGTCCAAGGACGCCCCCAATACGCCCCAAGAAGCCTCCAACATGCGTCCCAAGAGGGCCCGTAGACGCAAAAATTTGCCCATTCCCTTCGTAAAACGTGCATTTTTCACAAAGTTGCCTTTTGGTATTTCCGACGTTACAGGACGGCCCAAGAGGCACCCAAGACCGCCCAAAGACGGCCCAAGAAGCTTCCAAGCGGGCCCCAGGACAGCCCAAGAGGGCCCCAAGACGGCCCAAGAGGCGCCCAAGATGGCCCAAGAGGGCCCCAAGATGGGCCCAAGAGGGGGCCCAGAGGGGGACCACGAACCGCAAGCTGGAGCCTTCCGCCCCAAGAGGCCGCCAGGAGGCTCCAAGGAGGCCCCTCAAGAGGCCCCAGGAGACCCCCAAGAGGCCCAAAGGAGGACCCGAGAAGCCCCAAATCGGCCCCCAAATTGCTTCGAACCTGCTTCCAGGAGGCCCCCGACAGGTTCAGAGGCTCCCGAGAAGCTACGTCAAAATCCCAGCGAGCGGCCGGACGAGGCCCCAGAAAAAATCCCAAGAGGGTTCCAGTATTTGTATCCTTCAACGCTCTCTGGCCTTCTTCCCCCTGCCCCCTTCCCTGCGACTTTCGTAAACACAAGCTCGCCTCCTCTCCATTTCCTCTCTCTGCCTCTCTCTCTCTCTCTCTCTCTCTCCATCTCTCTCTCTCTCTTTCCTTCGCTCTCTGTCTGTCTGTCTCTCTATCCCTCTCTTTCTCTCTCTCTTTCTCTCTCTTCCTTTCAGATTCCGTGTCCTTGCGACCTTCTGCAGTCCCCGACGTCCTAGCTAGAACCTAAGCGCGCGCGAAGCGCGCGCGTGGTTCTAGTACATGTATATGGGCCAACATGCGCTCGACGCTTCTGTTGTGGATCAAACCGCCAGCGTCCGTGATGACGTACATGTTTCCATATTGCCACCAAAATTGTGCGACGAGTATTGGGTTTGCCATCTTGGTTTGTGGTCCATGACGCCGTGCTCCCGCAAATGCCCAATCGGCGACGAATGACGCAAAATATGTGCAGACTATTTAGCACGAACCGTCGTAGTTAGGCTTACCCTTCATCAAATTGCGGCATGCTCCCATACTTGAGTAGACCTGTGATCTACCCGACGTTGAGGCATTGATCTGGGCTGTCTGTTCTCCTTCCAAATTCTTGTAATGTATTATTGTGTGATGCTTGTCCCAAGGGATCCGATGCGTAGAATTCTATAGGCTTACGCCACATCCGCCGACCCCTTGTTTTTCTTGTGGAGGAGGAGGAGAAGAAGGAGGAGGAGGAGGAGGCGAGGCGGGGAGGGTGAGGCGGAGTGGAGGACACGAAATCGATAATTGAAGGTGGGGTCGGGGGCCTCTTGGGAGCTCCGGGAGCGGAGATGGTTCGAGGAGCGGGGAGGGGCGACGAGGAGGTGGATATCACGGCTGGGGCCGTGAGATCTTCCCAGATCTCATCGCCCTCACCCCTTTTGCTGTCTTTACCGTTCCCCTAGCCCCTTCTCGGCCGCGCACGCGCCTCGGGCCCTGATCTGCGAACTCTCCTCTTGGACGCTCCCCTCCTGGAACAGACCTGAGTCGGCGCGGCCGCGGCGACGGCCGAGCCCGGCGACGACGACGACGACGACGACGACGACGACGACGACGACGACGACGACGACGGACGACGGACGACGACGACGACGACGACGACGACGACGACGACGACGACGACGACGACGACGACGACGACGACGACGACGACGACGACGACCGACGACGACGACGACGACGACGACGACGGACGACGACGGACGACGACGACGGCGGCGGCGGCGGCGACGGACGACGACGGCGG